CTCAGAGGTCTCACCAGACTCTGTCAGAACAGTAAGCCTGGTGTTTTCTTATGATTTTGAGTTTTGTTCTCCCACTCTATGCAGGATCTCCTGCTCTGATCTCTTTCTGAGTGGTTGACAGTGGTAGCCAGGCACCATCTAGTTCTTCTGGTTTCATGGTCATATAGACTGAAGTTCACATGGTCCACTAGTCCCTTGGACTAATTGTTTCCATATACCTTTGGTTTTCTTCATTCTTCTCTACTCTGGACGAGGAGAGACCAGTTGTTGCATCTACATGGCCACTTGCAAGCTTGTGAGACCCTGGTTACTACTCACCAAAGAAGGATGTAGAACAATGTTTTTGTGTAGTATGTTATGCCAATTGAGCTCGATGTCCCTCCTGACCATGGTCCCAAGTCCACAGGTCCAACAACTTGCTCCATCAGTGTGGCTGACTGTGGCTAAGAAGTTATCATAACTCTGCCCCCAGTTAGTTCTAATTATATGGACATTTCTACAGCACATACAAATATGTATGTAGAAATATCATCTGCCAACTGTATATGGTCATGGATATATTCCCTTTTGCCTAGACACATTTGATCATTCAACCTGTCTACCTGTCTGTTTACCCATAGATTAATGTTTGTTGTCACTGATAATGCAGTATTGTATATTTAAGTGTTTATCTTTGTTGTCTGGACATCTTGTGCACCTCTCTGTGTCTTCCTTTTTCTTAGTGTTATTGTGTTGGTCACTCAATTTGGTATATTGCCTGTTTTGGTTACTTTGTACAATTCTAACAGAAAATACCATATAATGGGTTGATCGCTTTAACAAACAGAAGTTTATTCTCTTATAGTTTAGGAGGCTAGAAGTCTGAGTTCAGAGTGCCAAGCTCTGGAGGCTGGGTGAAAGCCTCTCAAACTGGGGGCCATTGCAGTTAGAAGCTTTTCTTAACTCAGGCAGCTGCTGGTTGCTGAGGCTGGCAAACCCAAGGTTGTCAAGTAAAACGGCACAGTCCCAAGATTATCAAACAACACAGCAGGTCACTAATTCAAGTGCAGAAAAAGTCCCAAGATTGGCAGGGCATGGTAGGCTGCTGTATGAAGCTTGGCTACATACAGGGTTCAAGCCTGCCAAAAAGCTGCAAAGACCTTTCTCAAAACTTCTCCTTCTTTACTGGAAGCAGACCCCATCTCTAAGGCAGCTACTCAGCTGCTCCAGTAGATTCCACCATGGAGTTGATTACCAGTCTCATCATGGGAAATAACTAAATTCGGCTGCCTAACCACTCAAAACTAGGCCCAGCCATGCTGACACTTTGCCTTTCTCTTCAAGGGTGTTTATTTATTTATTTTCATTCTTGCAGTGTTTCCTCCCCTCCTCAAGGGTGATTTTTATTAATTCATCTCAGCCTTTGCCAAGTGTCTGGCACTTCAAAAACCAAACCAAACTCACTGCCGTGGAGCTGAATCTGACTCATAGCAACCCCTCCTTGGGTTTCTGAGGTGGTATCTCTATGGAAGTAGATTGCCCAGTCTTCCTTCTGAGGAGTGGCTGGGGGGTTTGAACTGCCACCCTTCTGATTAGCAGTCAAATGTGTTAGGCATTACGCCACCAGAGCTCCCACTTAGTGGGCCCTTAGTTGATGTTATAGGGTCACTATTAGTTGAATTGACTCGATGGCAGTGGATTTGGTTTTAATAGCTGTTTAAACCACCCATCTGTCAATTGATCGTACTGTAGTGGTTTGCATGTTTGCCATGGTACTGGAAGTTATGCCACCAGTATTTCAAATACCAGCAGAGTTGCCCATGGTGGACAGGTTTCAGTTGAGCTTCCAGACTAAGAGTAGGAAAAAGGGTCTGGAAATCCACTTCTGAAAATTAGCTAATAAAAACCATCTGGATCACAAGAGAACATTGTCTGAGTCACTTGCTTTGGACAAATCATTAGGAGGGATCAGTTACTGGAAGAGGACATCATACTTGGTGAAGTAGAGGGCCACTAAGGGCACAGAAGGCCCTCGGTGAGATGGATTGGCACAAAAGGCACACAATAGAGTTGAGCATGACAGTGGACTGGGCAACGTTTTTGTTTTGTTGCACATAAGGTTGCCATGAGTCAGAACTGACTCAAGAGCATCCATCTATCTACCTACCAATCTATCTATGTGGGCAAATCTGCTGCAAAAGACCTTTTTAAAGTGTTAAAGTGCAAAGATGTCACTTTGAGGACTAAGGTGCACTTGACCCAAGCCATAGTATTTCATTGACCTCATATGCATACAAAAGCTGAATGATGAATAAGGAAGACCAAAGAAGAATTGATTGCTTTGAATTATGGTGTTGGTAAAGAATGTTGAGTATACTATGGACTGCTGAGGAGCTCTGGTGGGCTAGAAGAATGACCAAATCTGTCTTGGAAGAAGTACAGCCAGAAAGCACCTTAGAAGCAAGGATGATGAGACTTCATCTCATGTATTTTGGACATATTATCAGCAGGGACCAGTCCCTGGAGAAGGACATCATGCTTGGAAAAGTAGAGGGTCAGCAAAAAAGAGGAAGCTTCTCAATGAGGTGGATCCTCAAACACAGCAATGATTGTGAGGATGGCACCGGACAGGGCAATGTTTCATTCCTTTGTACCTAGGGTCACTGTGAAAACTAACTCAAAAGCACCGAATAACCAACAACATCTATTTATCTATCTAACTGATGTTCGTTGAATGAATGAATGCATGAATTGTGGCAGCACTTAAGTAAACCAGTGATGCAGTAAAGTAGTTTAGACTAAGAATTGAGGGATTTAGTTTACATTCCTAACTTTATCATGGTTATCTTCTTAGGAATTCAGCTTTTCTCATGTGGTGTCTTACTTAGTAATAAGGTAGCAATGAAGAACAATCTAAAATAACAAAACAAAATAAAGATGATACTGATTCAAGTAACCACCTCCATATTATTATTAAGAATATGATAAACATTTTCTACATCGTACAAACCATATTATAAGAAATAAATGACAAGAACGAATCTCTAAAATAAGTTTTATTAGAAAAAAACTTAGAACAATTCAAAATCCAATAGAGAATAAAGTCAGAACCTTATCAATTGTACTGACTCATAAGGGAACAAGTTAGGAAAGTCAATATGTATTCTAGGTTGACTTAAATTATTCATTTCCTAAAGAATTCTCAGGTGATGTGGTCTTGTCTGTTAATATCCTGATTTAGTTCCTCTCTTTGGCAGTGAAGACAAGCAGAAATAAAATTTGTGGCAGCCTGCTCTACAAAATAAAGTGAACTAAATAGAAAATATAAACATAAAAGTGCAGAAAAATTATTTACCACAAGAGGGAGATCTACAGTCAAGAGATCATAACAGGTGAAATGATTTCACTATTTTGAAAGAAATGAAAAATAATAACCTTTCCTTCATCTTTAGAGCTACAGTTAAATAATCCCTTGAAAATGAGAAAATGAGTTTTCATCTTTTACAGAGTCTGCCAGTCTTCTCCAAGGGAGTAGGGAATTCTATTAAAGATGGACTATTTGATTACCTGTAAAGCCCTTCTCTTCTATCCTAATTTCTCATAATTCTTGGATAAATCTATTTCCTCTGTAAAAACGGAGCATATGCAGGTGTGAGGCTTCAGCAGTACTTAGTGCCATTGTCCTCGTTGGTGCCATTGAATCAACTCTGACTCATAGTGACCCCATGTGACAGGGTAGAATTGCCCCATAGATTTCCTAGGCTATAATCTTTATGAGTGCAGATCACCAGGTCTTTCTCCTGAGAAGCTGCTTGTTGTTGTTGTTGTTGTTATGTGCCATGGAGGAGAAGCTTCTAGGTAGATTCAAATCACCAACCTTTTGGTTGGCAGCCAAGTACTTAACTATTGTACCACTGGGATAAAGGCAAGTAAACTATTACCATCGGGTCAATTCTGACTCATAGCAATCTTATAGAACAGAGTGGAACTGCCCTATAGGGTTTCCAAAGCTGTAATCTTTACAGAGGCAAACTGTCTCATCTTTCTCCCATGGAGAAACCTTTTGGTTAGCAGCCAAACCTCTGACCTTTAGGTTAGCTAAACGCTTAACCACGGCACTACCATGGCTCCTTTGGTACCTATGGCAACCAGGGACAGTAAAAAGACCAAGAGCCTTGGTACCAGACCAATGTGAATGTGAATTCTGGTTTTGCCACGTGTTAGTTGGGTGAGATTTAGGTGGTTTACTGTCCTTAATCTGAGTTTAATCACTTACAAATTGTGAGAATTAAATGAAACGTGTAGAGACAGCTTAGCTTACCATCTGGTACCTATGTGTTCCTATGTGTTCAATAAATAAGGGTCATTGGTACTGTTTCTTGCTTATTATTTAAATCTGTGATCCAAAGTCACCGTATTCTGTCTTTAGTGATTCTGGAGCAGGAATCATCAAGTTATAAGATATAAGCTGATTTGTTTTTCCAGTTGGTTTGACATTAAAAACTGAAGACATCCTGCAGCATGTTGTTCTCTTTCATGATTTTTGAAAAACATTCAAAGTGGACAAGGAGGTAATTCCATCACCAGGCAGATGGACATCACATAAAACAGATAGTAAAAGCACTGAAAGTATGTTTTCATAGGCAAAACAGATGTATACTTTAAAATGAAAAAAAGTCAAAGGTAAAATAAACACAGGGAGCATTAATGATAATTGGCATTTTGGTCTATAATTTGAAGGCATGTGCCATTTTACATACATTATGTTAATTTTCAGTGGTTAAAATATTCTGAAGGAAACCAGAAAATACCCTTTAATAGCTCACTAAATCTTTCATAAAATTGGCAAAACTGTTTAGAAATTGATGTGCTGCTTAAACTCAAATCAAATATTACTGTTTTCGCAGAAGAGAGTGATTTACATTGTTGGAAGAACCCTCACAGTGAGGGAGGTCCCCAGCATCTGGAAACGATTAAAGAATTCCCTAAGCTCCATTATTTTCTTTTCCCCTGGGCATCAATCAGATTCTTTGGTATCCAGATGATTCATGCCTTAGGCGGAATCCATAGACAATCAGACCCACAGCGCAGAGACCCAGCACGATGGCCCCGATCACAGGAAGCACAATTGTGTAGTCAGATGAACATTCATCCACTAAGAGAGAAAACAATACAATAACAGTGTGTAAGGTGTGGTGCCGACAGACCAGAAAGCAGGCCAGTGCGGGAAGAATACGAGCTTTGGAGTCTAACCAAACTGGGTTTGAGTTTTAATTCTACCACTGAGTAGCTGCGTGACTTTGGGGAATTCACTTAACCTGCAATTTCTTCACTTATCAAGTAAGCAAATAATAGGTAAGATAGTTGGGAGATTGAATAAGATAACTTTCTTCAGATAGTGTTGTTATTAGATGTCAACACATAGTTGTGACCCCATGTGTCAGAGTAGACCTGCACTCCATAGGATTGTCAAGGCTGTTAACTTTCAGAAGATCACCAAACCTGACTTCTGAGGTGCCTCGAGAGGGTCTGAATCACCAGCCTTTCAGTTAATAGTCCAGTACATAACCATTGGCACCACCCATGGACACCTACTTCAGGTATACCTAGCATGAAATAGATATTCAATAAATGTTCACCCCAGTTCCTGCACTGAGCAAGACGTCCTTGCAGGCATGCTCTCTGCAGAGTGGGGTGTGCTTACATAGATCAGATTGTTGGAGTCACTAGATTATACATGATCTTGAAAACATGTGGTATTTATCCACTTTATAAACCATTTTGTCACTCTTAATGTTTTCTTTTATTGCTTTTAGTACACTAAGAATATTAGAAAATAGACCTGATTGTTTACAAGAGCTTAAAGAGGGCAAGTTTGTAACTGACTTGTCAAACTGTGTTTTCTTTGTAACATTAAAAAAAAAAAAAAAAAAGCAAAACTCACTACCATCTAGTCGATTCCAACTTATAGTAACCCCCACTCAGTTTCCAAGGTGATAAATCTTTATGAAAGTAGATTGCCTCATCTTCCTTCTGCAGAACAGCAAGTGGATTTGAACCACCAATGTTCTGGTTAGCAGTCAAATGCCTTGGACACTGCACCACCAGAGCTCCTTCTTTATTGCATTGAACCAAAAATCAAACACACAGCCGTGGAGTCAAATCTGACTCATAGTGACCCCTCCTTGGGTTTCTGAGGCAGTATCACTACAGAAGTAGATTGCCCAACCTTCCTTCCGAGGAGTGGCTGGTGGTTTCGAACCACCAGCCTTCTGGTTAGCAGTCAAGTGCCTTAGGTACTAAGCCACCAGAGCTCCTTAGAGACTACTTAAATAAATTCATTTAAAATGTAATAGAATTGGCTACTGACTAGTCAATCTTGACTAGAGAAAGATGGAGGGGCTTGGGGATAAAGGAGAACTTGATAGAACACCCAATGTGATGGAGATATTTTGAGGGAAAGAGCAAACAAGTGGAGAACTACACTTATGTGTACTTCACGGATACTTAGGATGATATATGCATGAGTTTCTCATATGAATCAATATTGGAATCACGTCCTGAAATAATTAATTTGGGTTCTGTGCACCCAAAATCCAAGTACAAAAAGATCAGGAAGAATCCCAGGAAAGGGAATGGCAATTGGAGACTCTAGGGGGAAAACACACACACACACACAACACTTGTATAAGAAACAAACTGCTTGTAGTACACTATTTGGTTTGGCATTGGCAAAATTTACATAATCAAACCCACCAGCCACTCCTTGGAAGGAAGGTTTGGCAATCTACTTCTGTAGTGATACCACCTCGGGAACCCAAGGAGGGGTTGCTATGAGTCGAGTCAGACTCAACAGCGCATAACAACAATTGACTTAAACAAAAATAGTGGTATAACCATAAAAGGGGATGGTATAACCATAAAAGGGGATGGTATAAGAGTCCCTGAGTGGTGCAAGCAATGAATGCACTTAGCTGCTAACTGAAGGTTCAGGTTCACCCAGAGGTACCTTGTAGCACCCCAGAAGAAAGGCCTGGCTATCTACTTCCAAAAAATCCCATTTGTGGCAAGAGTGGTAAACCCTTATCTCCCATAGTGGGAAGTCTAAAATTCATAACTTAAGAAATAGTATGATAAGCTAATATATGTATGTTACATATATTTGTGGAATTATGGAAGTAGCTACCAGAAGATGTTGTTAAAATTTATTGAAACTGTTTTGTCTTTTAAACACAAGGACAGGTTACTTTTCATTATAAGCCCTTCTGGAGCATATGATACTTTTGTTGTATATATTTCTTAGATAAAAAAGAAATTTAACAAGTTAAGAAATTAAAATGGCTTGAGAAAAATACAAAGAACTTAAAATATAAAGCACATACCTACTGATCCAGCAATTCCACCACTAAGAATTTATATGAAAGATATACTCACATAAGAACATAAAGCTATATTATGATAATATTCCTTTCATAAGAGCAAAATTTAGCTATCCATATAGAAAACCCATGCCCATCCAGTCAATTGCGACTCAGAGACCCTATTGGACAGAGTTGAACCACGGAGAAGTGACATCACTAGGGCTGGTGTCACCCAGTGCAGTAACTCACTCCAGTTAGCAGTCGAGCACTTAATCACTGTGCCACAGGGCTTCTTATTAATCCATACATCCATCAAAAATTTAAAAGGGAACATTCAAACCATGTCACCCCCACACGGACCTCCTCCCAAACCAGACCTTACAGAATCCTTAGTAATGTTTATTATCAAATTTAATTGTAGAATAATATGTGATGAATATAGTTGTAAATTGTTTAAATGTAATATTTCTTAGATTGTATGAATACTAACAAAATTGTTTTGTAAAATCTTCCTACATGGAATTACAGCATTATTACTTACACCATTGTTAGTAACTGAGTGGAAGCTCTTTTTTTTAAATTGTCCTCCTTATTTTCTTTAATTACTACTTCATTCCCCAGAATATTGTTGATATAGGTTCACAAATACTAATTACCACAACACTGTAGCTAAAACACCAGAAAATTTGACAAAATCAGTGACTATGAAAACACCAGCAACAACAAAAACCACAGCAGATGAAACCATATGACTCAAAATGCCATTGTATTTGGGTAGTAATAACTGCTCTGGTCTGTGCCTTTGAAGCTTCAAAAATAAAACTAGCATTGAGTTTTTAGCTTTGCAGGTATATTGATACATGTAAGCTGGGCTTATAAAAAAATGTTTTTGTTGTTATAACTAACTACAAAACAAAACAAAACCACTGCCGTTGAGTTGATAACGAACCATAGTGACCATTTAGGACAGAGTAGAACAGCCCCATAGGGTTTCCAAGGCTGTAAATATTTAAGGAAGCAGACTTCAACATCTTTCTCCCATGAAGCAGCTGATGGATTCAAACCACCGACCTTTTGTTTAATAGCCAAATGCCTTAAGCACTGCACCACCAGAGCTCCTTTATAACTAACTATAGGGATATTTTAATAAAAATAATAAATTTCTGCTGAAACACTGCACAACAATTTTATAGACAATCATTTGGTTGTCAGCTCCTCTGACAGTGTCACCCAATGTGGTCTGCATTCCCCATACCTCCCTAGTGATGCCACTTCCATAGGCTTTCCAAGGCTTTAGGGAAACAGATTGCCACATCTTTCTCCTGTGGCGTGGCAGGTACGTTTCAATCACTAACCTTTCTGTTAGCCGTCAAGCACTTAACCATTGTGCCACCAGGGCTCCTTACTAATCCACATATCCATTAAATATTTAAAATGGCACATTCATACAAAAAAATAATGCAGACATTTAAAAAAGAGTGTCGTTGATCTTAATATGCTGATATGTGCTAAGAGCTGTGAAGTGAAGGGGCACACAGTCCATCATGTGAACCCAAACAGAAGTGTCTTGTGTGAAGATACACAGGAAGGTAGGGAAGGACTGGGATAAGACTGGAGGGAAGATTTTACTTTCCGTATAGTATTATAGGAGCTCTGGTAGCATAGTGCCTAAGGCACTTGACTGCTAACCAGAAGGCTGGCAGTTCAAACCCACCAGCCACTCCTCGGAAGGAAGGTTGGGCAATCTACTTCCGTAGTGATACTGCCTCGGAAACCCAAGGAGGGGTCGCTATGAGTCGGGGCCGACTCGACAGCAAATAACAACAACAACAACATAGTATTATAATATTTAATTCAACATTGTTTAAACATTTTTAAAATGCAGAGAAATACACACACAAAATCATTATCTACTCACATTTCTACCACTCCTGTTAACCACTGCAAACCTTTTCAGGCATTTGCTTCCTCTGTGTGTGTATGAGGGTGTGTATGCTCTGTGCAAGCATAAAGAAAAATCATTCTCTTTGTAAAAAATGATATATGCTCATTATAAATCATTAAAACAATTCTGAAAAGCACAAATGAAAGAGTAGAAATCAATCACCCTAAACACCATCCACCCAGAAATTATCATTGTTAACATGGAAAAACATTTCAGGCATATTTCTTTATAAGGATATGCAGATAGAAAAAGAAACAGAAATGAAATAGGATCATTCATATTATTTTATTAAAATTGTTACTTGAATTTAATAGAAAAAAAAACCCTATGTAAACTAGAGGAATTATTGTATTTTTAAGAAAGATTTCTTTGTCACAGGAAATACTGTTTGATAAAGGTATCCCCTAAGGCTCAAAAAAAGAGATAAGCACCCATTAAAAGATTATGACATGCATTAAGAGGCTATAATATAATGGAGGTTATAATAACTGTAGGCATTATGTGTTTTCTGAACTGCGTTTTTCAATTTAGACCTTGTCTATTGATCCTGTCTTGGAAGATTGGCACTAACAGATTCCCTTCCATCTCCCCAACTCCAAATTTTAATAGTTATGTAATTGTTTTAAATATTTTCCAGATTTATAACATTTCAATTCTATGTGATAACTATCATTCCTAGAGTGCTTTGTGTTTTGAATATATAACACACATAATTTAAGACAAAAATAATACAAGATACTGTACATTGAAGAGTTTCTCTTCTACCTTTGTCCCAGCTTCTTAATTCCTGCAAGCCCCATTAGATAACTACTTTGCTCAGTTTCTTGAATATATTTCCAAGATTACTTT